CTCTAGCCCAGGCAATGAAGTGAGACTCTGTCTCAAAAAAAAAAAAAAAGGAATTCTATTTAACTTGGCATAGGATTAAAAATTCATCCAAAGTAATGTAGAGGTAAACATTGCTAAGAGAATACTGAAAAAGAATAAGGAGGGGAACTTTGTAACAATTATTAAAATATATTCCATAATTAAAGAAGTTAAAAAAGTGGAGTACTGATGCAAGAAGCAGACCATTCAATAGAACAGAATGAAAATCCAGAAACAAAAAATATCTAAGAACTTAAGGTAAGATAAAATGTCATTTTAACCTAGTGAGAAGAGATGGCTTGTTCGGGACAAGTGAATTGCAATTTTAAAAAAAGTTTTTAAATGTTACAGCATGCTCCAAAATAAATCGTGGATTGCTTAAAGATTTAAGCTGGGAAATAAAAGCAAAAAATAACACAAAAGCAAAAAAGACACAAGCCTAAGGCCGGGCCAAAGGGGAGGGAAGGAGGCATGCAGAAACGCGCTTTCATGTCTTCTGGAAAATGTGCATTGGTTTCTCCTAAGTTTGCACCTGATGACACATAATGGCACCATCTCTGAGACCACGAAAACAGGCTTCTCCTGTTGCATCTGCTAAATTCCTATGGAGACCATCTGGGATGGGGAATGAGAACAAATTGAAAAACAAGGAGATTTAGAGTTTTTCAGGGACGTTTTCTAGGGGGCTGAGAGCTTCAGCATTTTAAAGCTCCACGCTACTCCAGCCCAGCGGTGTGTAAAGGCTGCTTTCCCACAGGCGCGAGTCCTCCTTTCGCAAATGACCTGAACACTCTTGTCAAATCCCGCCGACATTCTACCGAAGGCAGCGCTGATTACAAACACATGCTGAGATTTGGGATGCCTGGGCTTTGCACATGCGCACTGAGCGCCCTTGCGCGCCAAGTGCTTTTGCACACGCGCAGTGACGTTACTTTCTGAGGCGCGCAGGCGCACTTTCGTTCACCGATTTTGGCCGCTTGTGTGGGGCTCTGCGAGATTGGAAACCGCGGAGTTTCCTTGCAGAAGGTTGTGGGCGCGCTGGGTTGGTTTACTAGTACTGGGACCCGGCGGCGGACAAAAGCTAACACCCGAGGGGAAAATGAGGTGTCTTTGAAGCCAGTAGCCCCTGCCATGAAGAAGATTTTCAGTAAGAAGGGCGAGTCGCCCTTGGCCTCCTTCTCCAGCCGTCGGAGGACCGGCGCGGGTGTCGGCTGTGAGCATGGCAACGGCGTCTACTCACAGCCGGGGTACCACGTCCGGGACAGAGACCTCGGGAAGATCCACAAGGCCGCCAGCCTGGGTCAGGTGGCGAAAGTGCAGCAGATCCTTTTGCTCAGGATAAATGGCTTGAATGATAGAGACAAGATGAGCAGGTAATGGGAACTGCGAGCTGGGCTGCCGGGCGGATGTGGGGGAAGCGCCCCTTCCTGGGCTGGGTCGGGGGAACGCGAGCCCTCCTGTCACCGAGGGTGCCCGGCTTTCTCCCCTCCACGGGCTCCTCAGCACCTGGGACGTGGAAACCTTGGAGGGTCGAGCGCCCAGACCATCCTTACGAGCAGCAAAACAAAAACAGAATTGTAGCTGCTTTCCTATCCACTTATAATTCCCCGTCGCCGCCCCCCTTTTATTTTTGAGACAGAGTCTCCGCTTTGTCGCCTGGACTAGAGAGCAGTGGCGTCATCATAGTACGCTGGAACCTCAAACTCCTGAGCTCAGGGGATCCTCCTGCCTCAGTCTCCCAAGTAGCTGGCACTACAGGCGACAGGCAGTGCCACCGCCACGACCGGCTAACTTTTTTCTGTTTTTAGTAGAGGCGGGGGCCTCTCTCTTGCTCAGGCTGGTTTCGAACTCCTGAGCTCGCGCGATCCGCCCGCCTTGGCCTCCCAGAGTGCTAGGATTACATGGCGCCTGCCTCATAAT